CTAGTTGTCATGTTTTAGTTCAAACTTGACCTCCTCCCACTCTTCAGCCCCCCCCCCCCCTTTCCAATTCCCTTCTCCGCCTCCGTTTCCATCTCCAATACTGCACCCCCCCCCCAACTCTTTTTTAGACACATTGATTCTATTTACAGTGGGACAGTTTCTATTTCTTTTTGTTAACATGAAGCAATGTTTTAAAATTAAACTGCAATACTTACAGTACCTTATGGCGTTTTGGATGTCTAAATAATTGATAAAGGCTGTACTTGAATATATGTATGTAATATTATAATATATATATATATATATATATATATATATATATATAAATAAATATATATATACACACATTATATACGATGTGTGTATGTGTGTTGCTGTGTGTATGTGCGTGTGTCATGTGTATGTGTGTATATGTGAGTGTGTGTGTGTGTGTGTGTGTGTGTGTGTGTCTGTCTGTCTGTCTGTGTGTGTGCCTGTGAGTGCGTATGTGTGTGCGTTAGCGTGAGAGACATACAGACAACGAGAAAGAGTGAGATAGATAGACAGATAGATAGATAGATAGATAGATAGATAGATAGATAGATAGATAGATTGATAGATAGATAGATAGATGCATACATAGATAGATGGACATGGAGAGAGAGAGTGAGAGAGAGAGAGAAAAAGAGAGATAGACAGAGAGAGAGAGAGAGAGAGAGAGAGAGAGAGAGAGAGAGAGAGATAGGGAGGAGAGAGAGAAACATGAGAGTGCGAGAAGTCTAACTAAGATTGACCAACCCAAAATTAAAGAATGGCAGCATTGTCGAAGCGGGGTATATACCATTTACAGTTGCAATAATTTTATTATATAATTACATACAACATGCTTTGCATTTTCACGACAGATGTTTTGAGCGTTAGGGCTCGATAGACTGAGAATTTGGAAAAAAAACCCAGTACATCACCCACGTAGAAAATACATTGGAGGTGTTGATGGTGGTGATATCGTAGTGATAAGGAGGGTGGCGGGGTGGATGAGAGGTGGGTGGTAGGAGTAGAATGAGGAGGAGGATTTTTGGAGGAAAATGAACGGAAGAAGAAGTTCTAAAAACGAGAAAGAAGTGCAGGAAGGACATGGATCGTAGGAGGTGGAGTAGGAGGGGAATCAAACTGAAGGAGGTGGTAAAGGAAGTCACTAAGTGAAAGGAAAAGGAGGAGGAGAAATGGATAACACGTGATTGATTGACGAATGCGTGGCTGATAAACACATTGAACTGCCTCTCTGTGACTGTCTGTTTGCCTTTTATCGGTTGTCTTGTGGTTTTCCTTCTCCCCACCCCTCTCTCTCTCTCTCTCTCACGTTCTCTCTCTCTCACTTTCTCTCTCTCTTTCTATCCCTTTTCTCTCTCTCACTTTCTCTCTCTCTTTCTATCCCTTTTCTCTCTCTCTCTTTCTCCCCCCCTCTCTCTCTCTCACGTTCTCTCTCTCTCACTTTCTCTCTCTTTCTATCCCTTTTCTCTCTCTCTCTTTCTCTCACCCTCTCTCACTCTCTCTCCCTTCTTCCATATACATGATATACATACACATTTACATAGTACACGTACAGACAGACAAACACACAGATAAATAGATATACAGATAGACAGATAAATAGATATATAGATAGATAGATGGATAGATAGATAGATGATTTTTCTCTCTTTGTCTCTGCATCTCTGTCTCTCACCCTGTCTGTCTATCTGTTTGTCCGTATATCTGTGACTCTGTCTCTGCTTGTCAGTCAGTCTGTCTGCCTGTCTGTCTGTCAGTCTCTCTTTCTGTCAGTCTGTCTATCTGTCTGTCTGTCTGTCTGTTCGTCTGTCTGTCTGTCTGTCTATCTGTCTGTCTGTCTGTCTATTTGTCTGTCTGTCTGTCTGTCTCTCCCTTCCCTGTCTCCCTCTCTCCCTCTCTCTCTTTCTATCTCTTTCTATCTCTTTGTCTCTCTGTCTCTGTTTCTCTGTCTCTCTGTCTCTCTCTCTGTCTGTCTGTCTGTCTGTCTGTCTGTCTGTCTGTCTGTCTGTCTCTCTCTCTCTCTCTCTCTCTCTCTCTCTCTCTCTCTCTCTCTGTTTCTCTCATACCACTTTATCCTCAATTTTCGTCTGCCTCCAACATAACTTTCCACCTCGAGTTGACCGCGGACGCGGAGGTGCAAACGTGTCCCCTCTCAAGGGCCCTCCTATCAGAGACACACATCAAGCGAAAAAGTCGAGTCTGAATAACTTTATTGTGTCGAAACAGATGTAAAAGACAGGCAGTTAAATTTTGGTTGACAACAAAGCAGAGCTAAAAGACTAGTTTTCGACCTCACAAGCTCTTGAGTTGTGTTGTAGCTACGTTTGTATTTCAGCAGCAGTTTTCCGCCAGAAAAATGATTAGTTTTGCTGTATTTAATGCCATTGGAAACACTGTGAGTTTATTCACGAGACGAGGGCTTCTGAATTTAAAAAGCCAATTTCCAGTATGACTCAAACAAGCGAATAATGATGATGATGATGATGATGATGATGATGATGATGATGATGATGATGATGATGATGATGATGATGATGATGATGATGATGATGATGATGATGACAGCAATAATAACAATAATAATAATAATAGATATCATAATATACTAACAGCAATACTACCAAAAATAATAATAAAAAACAGTAATGATAGTAGTAATAATAATAATAATAATTATAATAATAATAAAATATATGTAATAATAATCAAAAAAAATAAAAAAATAATAATAATAATGATAATAATAATAATACTGATAATAATAATAATAATAATAATAATAATAATAATAATAATAATAATAATAATAATAATAATAATAATAATAATAACAACAATAATCGTGATTATTATTATCAATTTTTGTAGCTGTACAATTAGGTTCTGAGCCATTCACAAAACCTTCATCTTAACATAAATACACGTTCTTGAGCTCTTTAGATTATTGCCAATGCGTGTTATATTATGCAGACATTGATAATAAAATCCCAGTTTACTGCTTACTGATCCCATAATCCACAGGGATCGTAGGGGCGCTGTATGATATTGAGCCTCGTCAAGTGCCTCCACTTTTCGGGGATTTTTTTGGTGCAAGGGCCTTGTTTGTTTGTTTGTTTAGTATAGGGTTTTACGGCGCTTGCAACTGCATAAGGTCATATGAGCGCGCCGGACACACGTAATACTTTTTCGTTGGTAGGAAATTTTGAATTTTGCCCGGGTGGCGGCCGAAGCCTACTCTTATCGATTTTAGACCACCAAGGGATCTTTAACGTGCGCAACTTGCACACGGGCCCTCCGAGATTTTTCGCCCTTGTCCGAGAAGGCTAGGTGTAGATCTTTCCTACCAGAAGATCAGGGGTGTGGCAGAAAGACAGCAGTTAGGAGGAGCCAGGGAGTATCAGTAGAAAGGCTGCAGAAAGAGTCAGGAGCCCAGAGGAGGGGGCATAGGGGGTGAGGGGGTGGGGGCAGAAAGTGGAAATGAAAGCAGACAACAGAACATTGTTAGAAATCAGGAAAGGATGTGAAAGGAGACAATTTTAGAGAAGAAAATTTTTTGGTCGCTACCCGGAATCGAACCCGGGACCTTTAAATGAGAGGCCAACACCTTAACCTCTAGGCCACGAGAGCCCCCTTGCAAGGGCCTGAATTTCGGAGAAGGATTTTTCTGTCCACTCCGCAATGTTGTCGGTCCACCTCTTTCTTTGCTGTCCTCTCTTTCTCTTCTCCTGCACAGTTCCCTGAAGAATGGTCCTGGATAGACCAGACGATCTTGTTACATGACCATGCCAATTCATTTAACAATCATATTATCACAGCACTCTCGATGACAAATAACTATCAAGAAAAAATAAGATAACCCAAGGGCAAGAACAATTTTTTCATGATAATAATATGAGACTAAACAAGAAGTCAATGTACAAAGTCCAGTATAATACAAGACAAGGTGTCAAAATACCGAGTCCAATAATATTATGATGATACCCGACAAGACATCAAAATACCAATTCCAACATCTAGACAAGATGTCAGAGTATGAAGTCTAACACGATACTAGACAAGACAGATATCAGAGTATTGCATCCAGAGGTTCGCAGGAAAATTTTCGGGAATGAAGTGGTCAGAGAAAGACATAACACGAACTTAGTGCCATGCTATCCTGTTTTTACTAAAGATTCAGAATTTGGTAGCAACAAGACAAGACAAGACAACGATAAACAAAGCAAGACACAGAGGAAATAAATAACAACCCCCAAAACGAACAATTGCCAGCCTCCACCCACAATCCCAATGCATCCCACTCCCCTTTTCACAAGCGATATGGATTATTCTTTTTGAGTTTTTTTAAACACTCACTTCTTCTCTTTCTCTTTTGTTAACAGAACCCTCCCACCTTCTCTCTCTCTCTCTCTCTCTCTCTCTCTCTCTCTCTCTCTCTCTCTCTCTCTCTCTCTCTGTCTCTGTCTCTCTGTCTGTCTGTCTGTCTGTCTCTCTCTCTCTCTCTCTCTCTCTCTCTCTCTCTCTCTCTCTCTCTGTGTGTGCCCCCCTCTCTCTCTCTCTCTTCCCTTACCTCTCTTTTTATGTCACATTCTTTCTCTTTCCCCCTTTTCCCGTTCGTCATCTTCTGTTTCCCGTTAGGCAATTACAAACAATCGCACCCCCGCAAAGTACCACCCTGTCTCCCCCACAAAATAAAAAAGATAACACCAAGCACGAGGAGGTGTCTGATT